TTGGCCCAAGCCACACTCCTGGCCCTTCAGGCTGTCTCCACGCAGCCGAGCCAAGTCCTCTTCCCAAGTCTGTCCACTGAAGCCCAAGTTTCACTACCCAGTTGCTGTGCACTTCAGGCACGTGTCTCTGGCTAGGAAGTGCAGCGACATGGCGGGGACCGTCTATACTGGTCTTTCTTTACCCTGCAGGGCTGCAGACCAGCTCCCATGCTCTTCTCTCGAGCCTCTGAAGCTCCCTATCTGTCCCAGCATACCTCCCAGCTGGTGAAGGAGGTTCCCAGGGTGAGGGGACCTTTCCTTTTTCACAGCTCCCTACCAGGGGCGTAGGTCTCATCCCAATTCCTCTTCTTCTCCCTGTTCTCTTTGTCTTCCCCAGTTATGTGGGGATCTTTCTTTCAGCTCTGGTTGTATAGGATCTTCAAGCTTTCAGTAGGTATTCTCTGAGAATTGTTCTACGAGTAGATGTATTTTTGTTGTATTTGTGGGAGGAGGTGAGCTCCATGTCTCTCTGCCATTTTGATCGCCTCCTCTAGGATGATTTTTATTCCTATCTCATTTTTCACATTTTTACCTACTGATAGATAAATTGACCCAGAAACAAATGATCTCAGTTTGAAATGGGAGGGGAAGGAATGTTGCATAAATCTGTATGCTTTGGATAGTGTACATCTGTATTGTATTAAAGACAACCTATTTAAAAAGTTTTTTTAAAAAAAAATTAATTTATTTTTGGCTGCGTTGGGTCTTCGCTGCTGCTCACAGGCTTTCTCTAGTTGGGGTGAGTGGGAGCTACTCTTTGTTGCGGTGTGTGGGCTTCTCCTTGCAGTGGCTTCTCATGTTGCGGAGCACAGGCTCTAGGTGCGTGGGCTTCAGTAGTTGTGGCTCTCGGGCTCTAGAGCACAGGCTCAGTAGTTGTGCACATGGGCTTAGTTGCTCTGTGGGATCTTCCTGGACCAGGCCTCCAACCTGTGTCCCTTGCATCAGCAGGCGGATTCTTAACCACTGCGCCACCAGGGAAGTCCCTAAAAAGCTATCTTAGATTTGTTTATCTGAAGGATTTCTTTTCATTTTAATAGTTAAATCTCAGAACCATAATTGGTTTAATAATTTTTCACTAGTGCCTTTAACATGTGGATTGCTTCACGATATTCTTATAGATAGTAGTAGTGTGCATTTTTATAACCCCGTTTACAAACCCCAGCACTTCGTGTATCCCCAAAACTTCCTCAGTTTCTTGTAAACTAGCTCTCATCTCTAATAGTTATTGACCATATTGAATCCAAAAAGCATCACAGCAGTTGGAGTTACTTGAAGGTATTATACTGCAAGTTGAGGGTGAAGTATAAGTCTTTCAAGGAGCACATAACAACACTTTTTCAACCCTGGTTCATTTGTTGATTGTCTTCCAGTATTTATAGAGGACTGGGCTGGGTGCTGTGGGTTAAAGCATGGTGTCTGCCCTCAAAAAATAACTAGAGTTGAGGGAAGAAAGTGGATATAAATAAATAGTTAAATATTTGTATTCCCCATTTATTTTGTTTTCATTTTTGTTTTTGCGGTACGCGGGCGTCTCACTGTTGTGGCCTCTCCCGTTGCGGAGCACAGGCTCCGGACGCGCAGGTTCAGCGGCCGTGGCTCACGGGCCCAGCCGCTCCGCAGCATGTGGGATCTTCCCAGACCGGGGCACGAACCCGTGTCCCCTGCATCGGCAGGCGGACTCTAAACCACTGTGCCACCAGGGAAGCCCTGTATTCCCCATTTATAAAAACACAGTATATTACTGGAAATCATACTTTATAGTGCATAGGGACTTCCCTGGTGGCGCAGTGGTTAGAATCCGCCTGCCATTGCAGGGGACATGGGTTCAATCCCTGGTCCGGGAAGATCCCACATGCCACGGAGCTACTGAACCCATGAGCCACAACTACTGAATCCCGCGCGCCTAGAGCCCGTGTTCCGCAGCAAGAGAAGCCACCGCAGTGAGAAGCCCGCGCACCGCAACGAAGAGTAGCCCCCACTCGACACAACTAGAGAAGCCCGCGTGCAGCAGCAAAGACCCCATGCAGCCAAAAATAAATAATTTAAATAAATAAAGTGCATAATCTTGAAACAAGTTGTGTTTTTCTATTAGAACATGATGAGTTAGTTAGATACCAGGGTAAGTGCAAGTAAGAAATCACATATGACTTGCAGGTTTTGAGTATAGATCCTAGAGAAATAGGAAATATGGAGAGAGGGACATCTTTTTTCTTAAGGCTGTTTTTTAGAGCAGTTTTAAGTTCACGGCAAAATTGAGGGAAAGGTAGAGAGATTTCCCATATCTTGCTCCACACATACCAGGGGGATCTTCTTGGCAAAGATAATGATTGTTTTTTTTGGCATAGTATTTTGGAGAAAGAGTAATGCTGTTGACTTTCTTGCTACTATGCATTTTCTCATAGTTTTACTTACACAAAGGCAGTGTTTTATTCATTTTTAATTAACAAGCTCCTAGCTAAGTGCCTAATATATATATAGTAGATACTTAGGGCATTTTTAGTGAATTCCAGCCTTTGTTTCACACCCCCATTTCCTTCTTTGTTGCTTTTTCCCTTTCATCATTGAGAATTTGGTTGGATCATTGTATCAGTTAGGGTAAGATTCAGCTACAGGGACCAGCAAGCAGTTCCAAATAACAGTGGCTTAAATGAACTACAAGTTTGTTTTCCTTTCCCATAAAAGTCCAGGTGGATGGTCATGGAACTTTGTGTTGTCAGGAAGTCAGGATACTTCTCTCTTATTGCTTGCATGTGTGACCTCCTTGTTCTAGAGGGTAGAGTGAGAAGAAAAGGAGGCTAAGCACCACACCCTGAGTAATTCAAGTGTTTAATCCAACGTGTCAACAGGAGTATTTGTCAGGAAAGAATAGAAAAACATATTGAGGCAAAACTTCTATGCAATCTTTAACTAGTAGGACATATTGTAGTTGTTACATTTCTTATCCGCCATAAGATTATAACCTTCTTGGTGACAGACACTTATTTTAATAATCACTATACTCTCAGCAGAGTGCCAAGCCAGTAAGTAGTTGCTTAATAATTATTTGTTGAATAGATTAATGAATGAAAGAAAAAGTTTGGGAACTGTTGCTGTACACATTTGACTATGCTTCAGTAGACATTCCAACATCTGTTGGATGACAAACAATCCTCACATAGATGTATGGGCTTAAAAATAGAATTAAATACAGAGTTATTTTGAATTTTTTATTTCTTTTTTTCCTAGACTGGGGGATTTTATTTTATTTTCAGTTAGAATATTTTGAAATATTTCGAGCCCTTATTTGTGTTTAAAATACAGAATTGCCTAATTCAAATAATAGATGATTAAAAAATAAAATAAAAATAAGCAAAGTTAACCAGGCATTGAACGCTTCATTTGAATTATCTTTCTTAATTACAACAACCTATGAGATTAGGATTTTACTCATAGAAAGGAAATAGACTGAGAAATTAAGTAACTTTCCCAACCTCACAGCTAGTTAATAAATGATAGAGCTTGCATTGGGTCAGCATGATTCTAGAGCTGAGCTTTTAACTATATGCTAAATTGAATAGAAAACTAAACTATTTACTAAAATAGTAATTTAGCATATGAATGTGAGTCTTATAAGATAGTGGAGAAAACATTTTAACACTGTATCATTTTTAGCCAAAAAGCAAATAACAGTTGACCCTTGAACAACATGGGTTTGAACTGTGTGGATTCTTTCACTAAATACGTACTATAGTACTACACAGTCTGTGTTGGTTCAGTTTGCAGATGTGGAACCCTGGATTTGGAGGGCTAAGTGTAAATTTATGCTCAGATTTTCAACTGCGTAGTGGTCAGTGCCCCTAAACCCCATTTTCAAGGGTCAACTATAAAGTTACGTTTAGGAATCTGGAGGGAAATTTAACAGCTTTCCACTTTAGGGCTCCAGACTGGTACCATTGCTCTTTCCTGTTCATTACTATTCTGTTGTAGTGGGAAAAGAGCTATACACAAATGAATGGTTGTGGTTGTGTTCCATTAAAACTTTATTTATAAAAATAGGCAGCAGACCTGTAGACCATTATCTGCTAACCCCTGGTGTACTATACACCAGATACTATTATAAGTATTTTATATGTATTATTCCATTTAAACGTCTTAACCCAAAGCAGTAGTACTCGTGTTATCTCTGTATGAGGCAACTGAGCCACAAATAGATTAAATAACTTGTCCAGTATTACATAGCTGTGAAGCGATGGAGCTAAGACATAAACCCAAACAATCTGACTCCAAAGACTGTACTCTCATAGTATACTGCTTCTTTATTGTACTAGAACTTCTTTTTTTTCTGTCAGTGTCATAGAACAGTATATATTTTTTGTTAATTTACATATCTTGTGCCTGGCACCTATAACTTTTAATAAGAAGTCTAAAAGTAAAGAGGATCGGACTTCCCTGGTGGCGCAGTGGTTAAGAATCCACCTGCCAATGCAGGGGACACAGGTTCAAGCCCTGGGCCAGGAAGATACCACATGCCACGGAGCAGCTAAGCCTGTGTGCCACAACTACTGAGCCCACACGCCACAACTACTGAAGCCCATGCACCTATAGCCTATGCTCTGCAACAAGAGAAGCCACTGCAATGAGAAGCCTGTGCACCGCAATGAAGAGTAGGCCCCGCTCGCAGCAACTAGAGGAAGCCTGCACACAGCAATGAAGACCCAACACAGCCAAAAATGAATAAATAAACTTTTTTAAAAAGTAAAGAGGATTGTTCCTTAACAGAGAAGTTGGTAATTGTTCAGATGTACTTTTAAGTACCTGGAATCCTATAAGGAGAGAAAAAACTATCATGAGGGGAGTTAGGTTTACTTTTTAGATTAGTAAGTGTCATTATGTTAATTGTTGGCTCCATGATAAGATTTATCTACAATTTAAATATTGTTTAAATTTACTCTGGCATAAATGTATTTTTTTTTTCTTGTCAGTTTGGATTTAGGTGGCGAGTAGAAAAAGAAGTAATTTCAGGGAAAGGTAATTCTTTTTTTTATTTTAGTTTTTAATAGGGTAAGGTTATTTTGTTATATTATTGAAGTCACTGGGTAAGATTATTCCTAATATATACAATAAGTGATTATCTACAAAATACAAAGTAAAATTAGAGAAGGTGTATTAATGATATATTGCTAACAAAGTTCAGAATATAATGCTTTAATGGTTTTTACGTTTAGAATTTTTGCTTCTCGGATATTCAGTTGCAGATAAGTAGAAAATGTTCAAAGAGTTAAAAGTTTCCTAGGAAGGAAACTATCAACAGATGAATACTTGAATTTTTCTCTTTATTAATTTTTGGAATAATGTGTTGGTATTACTGTATTCCAGTCAAATCCACATTTTGCAGATAGAAATTAAATATTACTTTGAGCCTAATAATTTTCAGACAGGCTAGTTCTTAGGGAGTCACTGAGTTTGAGCCCAAATATTTAGTCTTACAGAAAAAGAACAAGCATTTGGTAGACAATCAGTAAATGCTTTTTCTATGCAATGTAATCTATTCATAAAATTTTTCTGAAAATTTAATATTTCTGTACTGTCTCATGCTATAAAATTAGCTTTGTATTATTGGTGATTGCATTTAAGTGTTAATCTTTATACTGTCTCACGCTATAAAATTAGCTCTTTATTGGTGATTGCATTTTAAGTGTTAATGCTTCTGAAAACTACATAGGAACATTAAGGAAATAATTTTAAACTAAAAACTTTTAAAAATCTTTGAAAATAAAAGTTTCATTTTTAAATGATTAAACATTTATGCTGTCAGTATGGCTCATATACATCTTCCATAAATTAAGATCAGCCCTAAAGGTACTATAGAGGAGAAGGAAAAAGAATAATTTTAAAGCTATTTTAAACTTTTCTTAGCATTACATTTTAGTTTGTGCTTTTACCTAAGACAATGAGAACTGTTGAAATGTCTATCACAATTTTAAAATTTTATACTTTTATTGAATGGAATTTTCAAGTGACAGTAAGTAATGCTGCCTTTAAAAAAAATTGATGGACATTCTCTAAATTCATGTAATTGAAAAAAGTTTTAATTGAGAAGGGGAAAGAAAGCTATTTGCTGTGACTGAATCTTGGTGCTTTTTTAACAACAGAGCCATTGCTAAACACATACAGATTTAATGAAGTATTTATTTGGAATGAGTAAAACAATGCCAATTTAGAAAAGTTATCAGCCTTTGAACTGGTAATTTTCAAAATTCATTTTGACAGTTTCATTTTTATGAAAAAAAAGCAGTTCCTGTTGGTGCAAATTATTGAGATATAAATGCTTTTTTTAGTTTGTGCAAATAAGTTTGATCTTGTCTTTTTCTGTTGAAGTTAATAATTGTTGAGCAGTTTTTTTTTTTTTCCCCTCTTGGATCATCAGTATTAGTCCTTTTTTGCATAGGTTTTAATATACAATGGATATGATAATAAGGCATTGATTTTAGTGTCAAGTGATTCTAAAATTTAGAGCATCAGGTTTGATTACCCATTCTACTTAATCTCAAAATGCTAGTTAAAATGTGTTTTAAATGTCATTTTATGCTGGTACTTAAATGCCATATTAAAATTTTCAATTTTTATCAATTTTAATATTATTAAATATTGAAAAAGATTGTCCCAGTTGTAAGTGCATATACTTTGGAAAATATACTTATTCTTTTAGGGTATTAGTGAGTACACTTTTCTAGTACTTCCATCTTCCAAAGTGTAAGATTCCCTTACACGGAGTCACTAAAACTCTGTATCTTAATATAAACAGTCAACTTGATAGGTAGTCAACTATCTATCAGGTAAAGAATTTTGGAACTTTTTTTTTTTTTTAAACAGTTCATTCAGCAATTTGATTTGATTGTTGAACATACCACAATTATTGTGGTCAGTTTTTTAATGATTATTTTATAAAGCTAGGAATTTATATATGTATGTCATGTATGTTATGTATGTATGTTGAGTAAATTTCAGAGGTAATACCAGATTGTATAGATAAATATTGTCACCAACCATCATAGCTAATATTCCTTCCTTTATTTGCAGGCCAGTTTTGCTGTGGAAATAAATGTTGTGATAAAAAAGAAGGCTTAAAGAGTTGGGAAGTTAATTTTGGTTATATTGAGCATGGTGAAAAGAGAAATGCGCTTGTTAAATTAAGTAAGTTGACTTTAGGTGGGGTATGATTGATTTCTTCAAAGTTTATCTAGTAATTTAGATTTTAAAATATATAGGCTAATTTAAGATCCAATTAAAAATTTTTAATGTATCTTCTTGGGAACTCTTTTTTTCTCAGAGCTTCTGAAAGTTGCAAGAGTGACATTAGGGGAAATAGTTCTAATGCCAAAGGTAAACCAGTAATTCGTGAAGTGAAGACCTCTTTCCATTAATTTGAGAATGTCACCAGTGCAGAGTGAGATGCAAAGTATCAGAAAAGGCAATATAAAATCTCGCATTAGCTGATAGCCATATTGTTATGGTGTAGACTTTATTGACTGTCAATAAAGAAAAAATTTTAGAAGGGCAGATTTTTCTTGATATTAGTCTTAAAAGCTTAGGATTATAACCCAGAATACAGAAGTTTCTCTTAATATACATGTTTTAGGATCTGTTGCTTATTCTTTTTTTTTCTCCTAAGCTAGTCTTTTATGTGTCAGCTTCTTCTCTACCTCATGTTAACAACCTTCTCTGGTTCCTAAATACGTGTGCCCTTAGAGTGTCTGCCCACTCCGGGTAGAAATCAAGGATTTCCCCATATGCTACTTGGTACACACCAATGAAGGTTGGTGTCTGAGTTCTTCCTGGAAGTGCTTATGAGGAAGAGTCAACTAGTGTGAACTGAGATTAAAGCAAAAAAGAGACCACAATAGAGGAACTTTTTTGAAAGTTCTTTTACATTTCAAAACTCTTAGAGTACTTCAGAGGAAATGACTATACCCACACTATTGTTATTAGATGTCTTTGATGTGAGATACAATTCTGCCTGTGAAACAGTTTGCTTTTAGAATAACTTGACAGCACCATTTTCTAAAGCAATGGCAGAATATTTTCAATTTCTCAAGCATTCTAATTCAATTTTTATTATATATATACATTTTTTGAGGTGGGAGAGAATCAGATTGTTTTCTTCAGATTATTTGTTTCCCCTCTTACAGTAAAGGAATGTAAAGAAAAATGACAATTTATGATATTAAAAGTAAAGTAGCAGTGCAGTTATTAAAATTTAGCAGTTCTGTGCTGTTACTCTTTTTTTTTTTTTTTTTTAGGATTATGCCAAGAATGTTCCTTTAAATTAAATTTTCATCACAGGTAATATGATCTTTTAAAATGTGGTTGTTAATTTTAGTACTCTTGGACGTAGTCACCTGCACTGGATGTCTAAAGTGGACTTGAGTGGTTGATGGTTTAATTAGTTGGTCGTATATAAAATCCGCCATTACCATATGACCACATAAACCAGGGAACTGGAAGTTCGTCATGCCTAACTCTAGTCAAGCAGTTTTAAATGTGAAGGCCTGTGCAGGGTGGTAGATAGATGCTAGAATTTTTGGTTTGGAATCAGTGTTCAGATACTGTAATATTCTTAGAAACTATATTGTAAAGCAGGTCTTCATAAAGTGATTCCTATGTCTCATTCAAGCATTGTTTTAATTAGAGTTTGTCATTCTTACAAAGGATTATACCTCTATACTCATTTTAGATGTTAAAGTCAGGCTCCTATTGAATGAGCTAGACTGTGTCTGCCATACTGAATGGGGAAGGAGTATCATTGTTCTGCATTGTGCAGTATATATAGATAGTAGGCTTTCCTATGTATTCTTCTCAGCTAATCCACTTGCTAGTCTTCTTGGGCAAGCTATGTAACCTCTGTAAGACTCAATTTTATTATCTCTAAAAATGAGTATACTAAGGTTATTGTGGGGATTAAATGAAAATGCATATAAAACGCTTGACACAGTGTCTGACGTATGGTAAGTCAAGCATAATGAAGTCCCTGGCGTTGCAGATGTTCAGACAAAATCTGTGTAACCTGGCATGATTGTAGTGGTCAAGTTTCATGTCCTGAGTAACACTTGAAAGTCTTAACAGTAAGATTCTGCAACTTTATAAAATGTATATATTAGTATATTAATTTAAAATCAGCTGTGTTCTAAATGAGCCTTATCTAGTATTTTAGCTATTAAAAATAAATAAAAAATTTTAAATTCTTAAAATTAGCAAAGTTTTTAGATTACTTGATTTCCCCTCTCTATCAATGATACTGGAAGATAACAAAGTTTTATTTGACCTTGAGTTTCGAGCTTCATTTCAAGATTGAAATTATTCTTACAAGAGGCAAGAAGTTATTACTGTCTTAAACAGTATTGTAGTATTTGGTGTATCTTAATTTGAAAGGTCTGATAAGCAAGTTTCTTGAAAGTAATCCACTCTGTTGTCTCTTCATCCTCTTTCCCAGTCCCAGTTTCAGCATTATCACCTTTTCCTATTTCGTGTTTCTTTTCTTAACCAATTAAAATCAGTTGTTTGCCAGCTATGGCACTGACAACCTTGTAAACTTGGCCTAGAAGAGATAAAGCTACAGCAGTAAAAGGATAAGTGGTCTAAAGTAGATATATGAGTTAACAGTAAGCTTTTCCATCCTCTTTCTATTATACCTTTGCTGTATTCCTTTATTCTTAAGAGTAGAATTTTCTATTTACTGGTGGTTGAGAACTGTTAGAGTGGTTTCTTCTTGTATGTGTTTTTTCAAAGTGTAGGTGGATATGAATTATGTGGAGGAAAATGAGATTTGATTTTGTAATTTTTTTAGAATGGCTAAATGATAAAATATAGAAAAGAAATGAGTAAAAGCTGTGATTTACATTTACTAAGGTTTGTACACAGAACTTATAAAAAGTAATCCTTTGTGTCAGAGTGTTCAGGCTTCATAATCTTACAGAATTGTTTTAATTAATACACTAACCTAAAATATTTACAGACTCATTTAAGGGTTCCTTATTATGTAAGCTACATTTTAAAAATGAGTACTTTAACTGATTTGACTTTTTTACCCATTGATATTTATTTTTTGTAAAATTCAGTTGAAAAAGTTAACTTTATATTATTCAACATAAAGGAGAAAAGAAGTCAAGTCAAAAAAAAGAAAGGATAAAGCCAGAAAAGATTGTGAAGAGTCATCACATAAAAAATCCAGATTATCTTCTGTAGAAGAGTCCTCTAAGAAAAAGGATAAAGGTAAAAGGGAATTAAAATAGAATATTTACTCATATTTCTGAACATGAAGTATAATCTGCCGTATGTCACAAATGTTGAATTTAATTAGTAAATGCATTTAGAATTCTGTTTTATAGTAGTTGAAAGGAAACTGGTTGGAGAATTTAGATATGAATTTACAGTAACTTACAGGAGTTTCAATAACAAGGTTGGTTTTGATTCATTTTTGGCAGATGGTATAATATTGCAACAGCATTCTAATTTCTGGATTTGTTACTTACAGACTTGTTACCTTGAGCAAGTCACTGAATTTCTTGAGTTTCACTTTCCTCGTGTACATAGTGGTGATATGAATACCTGCTCTCTATACTGCTGGTGCTTATTGTGGAGAATCAAATAAGGATGTGAAAGGCACTTTGAACACTGTAAATCAGTACATAACCTATAAGTCAGTTTAACATTGTAACACTATGATTTCAATTATCATGGTCTGTGTGATTTTTCTCACTAGCTTATGAGCTTCTTGAAATGATAGAGGTTGATATGTATGTGTCCTCAGAACCTAACATGGTGCTGTGCACATACAATTAGTAAATAACTGTTACATTCAAATCCAAGTCAACTGCTACTTCTTCCTCAGCAGTCCTTAAGCTAAGCCTTAGTTTTCTCATGTGTAAAATGGTCATGATAACCTTACCTAGTAAGTCATAGGATTTTTCAGAAGTTGAAATGAGATAATGCATGTAAGCAGTTTGCATAGTACTTGGTACATAGTTAGCTATTACGAAGGTTACTGCTAGTTGCTTTTTTAGTCCATAATAAAGTAGAGTCAAATTGACTATAACTTAGAGTGAATTGGACTTAAATTAGGTAGGTAATGGTAGATTGAATTAGATTCCAGCCTATGTTAACATAATACTTGAACAGGAGAGGGCTGCCTTGCTCCAGCTATGAAGATCATTAGATATGTTACGTTCTTACGTACACTTTTTTCTTCTAACATGTCATGATACATTCAGGTATATGTATTGCCAGGTTTTTGACTTGGTAAAATCGATAGATGTTGAGAGGAAAAATACTGATATTCTATTGTTTATTGAGAAATGGTATTTGAAACAGAATACCTTTTTTGTCTCTAAATCATGTTTCAAATTTCAAAATAAATTTTAATTAAGTGTGAGAATCTCACTTGAGTTTTTAAAAATTTTTATTTATCCTCATGTGCCAGTAAAATATTTAGTGTATTATATCTGAAGATTTTGTAGCATTTACTATTATATAATATATTTATATCATAGTATGATACTATGTTAATCATTGCATATTCCAAATTAAAGAAGAACTAATCCCTGCCTTATAAAAGTTTATTCAGTACCTCCAAAACAGATAATTAGGTAGCTGGATACTCAGGACTAGGGATGGGGTTGCACCCCTCAAATTATAATATATATATGCATGTGATCTTCCTTATAGATGTTTTTCCTTTAGTGTTCTATATTTCGGTAGGTGATACCTCTGTCAACCTAAAAACTAATATCGGAAATCGGGAAATTATCCTTGATGCCTTCTTTTTTTCTCGTTACTTATGTAAATACTATCAGTTTTACCCCCAGGGTATGTATTTCTCATGTTCTCTCTAGTCTAGTTCAAACTACCATGTTTTCTCATCTAGGCTACTACTATATTATCCGTACTGATTCTAACACTGTCTTGTCATCCCACCTCCCTCTCCTTAATCCATTCTCCATCTAGTAGTGATTTCCTATGTTCTTAGGATATAACCAATATCTGGACAAAGCCCAAAGGCTCTATATGATCCAGCATACAAGGCTTGTTTATCACTACTCTTCACCTTACATTCACACTCCACCCACATAGCCTTTCTGTTTCTAGAAAATGCCAAACTTCTTTCTGTTTAAGGACTGTATAGGTGCTGCTTCCTCTCTAAAACCTCCAGTCCCATCCTAACTCATCCTTCAGATTTAAGCTTAAATGTCACTTCCTCAGGGATCCTTTCCTGACCATGAATCTAAATTAGGACTCCCATTTATAATGCTTTCACAACCTTGGAACTTTTCCTTCATTACACATATGACAGTTACATAAAACACAAGGAGAACAGGGGTTCTGTCTGCTGTGTTTATTGCTTTATCCCTAGCACCCCACTAGCACAGGTAAGGCATAAATAATAAAGAATAAGAAAATGAAAGACTTGAAGATTGTTTCAGGGCAACTTCAGAGATAGAAAACCAAAGCAGAGTGGAATTGAGACATCTGTGCCTTATATACTCTTTATTCAGAGCACCTTTCATAGCAGAGAGCACAGGGTATAGTTCTTTTTCTCAGCTTCTTTGGTATAAAGCAGAAAATGACAACATCTTAGCAAACTTTTAGGAAAACCATGTAGACCTCTTTAATATCTTCTCATCTGGGATCGATCATCTGGAATTAGGTTGATCTTGATATGATACTTTCTTGCCAGGCCACCTTAATTTGGCCCAGACTTGAATAGTAATTAGTAAATGCTTAATATCGCAGCTGCATTTGGACTGTTGGCATTCCTCAGAACAATTACTTTCTTGATCTTTTTCCTATCTTTTCAGCCTCTCCTCAGCCTCTTGACTATAATTCCTCCTCCATCTTACCCTTGTTGGAATTGCTCAAGGCTCTTACAGAGCTTCTCTTTATTCTCTCTGTTCTCCCTGTGTGATCTCATCAACCCCAATAGCCTTAGGTTACCATCATACAAAATGTTAAATAAGTGGATGGATGGATGGATAATTGGATGGCTAGATAGCTGAATGGATAGAGAGGAAATGTAAGAAAGATCAAAGCTTGACTTTGAGGACCAGTCTGCTTTGGCAGGTGTGAACAGAACAGGATATTTAGGTAAATTGTCTTGGCAGGAAGTTCAAGATCTTACCCCTCCCACCTCCACCCTGCCCCCAAGCTCAGTTCCTTGGGTAGGCATTTTCTGACACCCTTCACCCCACTCCTCCAGGCAAGATTAGGTCCCTCTTAGCACATTCTGATAGCATCCTGCACTCTCCTTTAGAAATACATATCACTCTTGGAATAATTTTTCTGTGAAGGAAGGGACTGTGTGACTTGTTTAATTCTCTATCCCCAGTTCCTAAGCACAGTGCTTGCCCCACATAGTAGGCATTCAGTAAATGTTAGGTGAGTGAGTCAGTGAAATCAACCAATTTCTCAATGTTGAAAGGAACATCAGAGATCAGCCCTGGAATCATGATCAAAAAGATTTTCTGTGGTTTCACCTTTCAAAATATGGTCCTTTGCATTGTCATCACTTGGGAGCTTGTTAGAAATGCATAATTTCAGACCCTTCCAGATCTCCTAAATCAGAGTTGCACTTTAAGTTCCCAGAATGATTCATATGTACAATAAAGGTTAAGATGCACTGCTCTTTATCATTTATTTGTTCTGCTTTAGCTTCAACACCTCCAGGGAAAAGGTACCCATTATCCAAAATACTCCTTTACATTTCAGACAGCTGTAATTGCTAGCAGGTTTCTCTTAACATTTAGCCCAAACGTACAACTTCTTCCTTCTGGTTCCAGTTGTGTCCTTTTTTTAACCTATAGACACTTGGAAGCAGGTATCATTGTTCCTTACATGACAGAGAAGATGACAGAGAAGAATACATTTCTTTTGCCATTGGAAGTTTAGCTATGTTTTTATTTGCTCTCTGATGACTAGGAAATAAGTAGGAGTGAAGAAACAACATAAAGCAGTTGTTGCAGTCCAGGCCTTGGCTTCCTTTGGAATCTTGACCCCTGTAGTTCTCACACCCTCTTGTCTGGCCTTAAGGGGCCATTCATGCTACAACTTGGGCTAATTATGAGACCTGTCCAGGGAGGTTGGAGGAATTGTTACTCTCCATCTGTTTTCTGTTCTTTTTTGAGTTAGCAGCCTTCAGAAATATTTCCCCTGAGGTCTTACTGCAGGAGATTGTATAATGATGATTTTTTTAGATTAATAGATCTTCAGTACTTTTTCTGTTTCCCTCGCTGGGTAAACCATTGTAGAATTGAAAATGTTTGTTTTATGACATAATTTTTTGTGTGATTTTCAATTACAGAGAATTCTCACCTGTATATGATCTTCAAAAAAGATTAAGAAAGATTTTTTTAAATCTTTTTTCTTAAAAGATTAAGAAAAGGCATTTATTTGTAAACTGCTTTCAGTTGTTGAACATCTGTAGATAAAATATTGTTTGTATTGCAGCTAATCTATGAGGGTTTTTTTGGCTTTTTTTGTCCTAGCAACATGAGATTTTTTTTTTTATAGGTGTTCATTATTTTTTATGTTTTGTGCTAGGTATTCCAGGCTGTACAAGAGCATAAAACACCCCTCCCTAAAAGAATCTAACATTTTAATTAGGGAGATAAGTCTAAGGAACAGGAAAGATTAGAAGACAGTGAAGTGCTTTCCTGCAAGTCTATACACTAGACTATTGGGAAGAATTCCAGTTATAGCTATAGCTGTTACACCACTGCAAGATGATTCTTGACAAAACAGTGCTGGGTTTTTTGTTTTTGTTTTTCATCACATTCACTCTCAGTGAAATCAGAAAATTCTATCAACAGTGTCAGTTTTTATTTAATAAAAGTATACAGATTCACGTTATTTACAGTTTAGGTTTCCCACAAACTGTAACTTGTTCTGATGTAAATTTTTGTTGTTTTTGTACTGTGTGAGAAAAATCATAGAAAAAAGAGCAAAAGTGTATTTCTTCCCCATATTAGAACATTTAAAAGTTTCTTATGTCAAGTATAGAAGAGCATAAATTTCTTTTTTTCAGTAAATACAGTGGATAAACATTTTAACCTCACATCATGAAGTGTGAAGGAAGAGAACAAGAGGGATGAAGTTGGGATAGAAAAAGAATTGGGGAGGTGGATTAAAATTTAAGAAATGTTGCTTATATTGCACAAGACTGAGTGATCTCTTGTCATTTGGTGATTTTGATCGATCAAATTAAATATATGGTTTGTACA